TCTCTTTAAGCCTTTATCTGAGACCAGTTTCACGGGCCTCTGTCAATACTGCTGGACAAAGTTTACATGACCACGGTCCTTGCTGAGCCAAGCTCATAGGGAGCTTAGCATGATGCAAGAACCATTTCCTTCCCACTTTTCCTTCCTCAAAACAGGAGAGTGCTGGATTCCCCAGGGCCCAAGACCAAAGGGCTCCCAGGCTCACCAACTATATTCCCAAGGGTTAGTAGAACTGTAGTTGATGGTGGAAGTGAAAGCCAGAGCCCTCCTCCTCTGCAAAATACCCCACACACAAGCAGAAGGAACCATCAAGAAAGATAGAGAAAACCCATTAGATTGAACGGTTTGTAGTGTTTGGATGAGGAAGGGAATTGCTTGGCTCGACCTGGGAAGGTGCTAAGGAACAAAGTGGAGTTCATAGAAAGTATACAGTTGAGGCTCCATCTGTCCCTCACGTCCAGAAAGATTCCAAGTGGTGATGCTAAGATATGTTTGGTTCATGGAAATGGAGACCCTGAAATGTGATTGGTCCATGTTGTCTGAGGGGACAACCCTACACAGTCAGATGGAGATATGATTGGTTCACAAAGTTCTGGAGCAGTGTGAGTTCTTTCTCTTGCTTGGGGAGAAATACATGGCTAGGATCCCACAGGCCCAACACTGGCACTTCTTGGTTCTGGGTTGTCAGGGACCAGGTTTTTGCTGTCTCTGAGCCCATGTCAAAGGCCTGACCCTGAATGTAGCTGGACCCAAACCTCTCAGACCTTCCTTCTGCCCTCTCGGGTTGACCTCAACAGCCCCTTTCTACTCTGCCCATGAGAGACGTCCCTACACAGATGGGCGTCTCATTGTGAGTCCACGTCTGACATCTCCCTGGCGCCGGCCCTCTCCTCCAGCTCCTCGGTCCTAAGGGGCACAGATAGCCCTTCCCTGATGCTTCACCTTCCCCCTGCTCTCCCTGGTCCCATAGTTAACATCTGCCTCTCCATCCTTGCTGGTCTCTGCTAGGACACGAGGCGTGTGTCTAGGCCCTGGACAGATGAGGCACTGACCGAAAACATCTCTCTCTCAGGTGAGAGCTTAGGGGAGGCCATCTTGGCATCTTCTGCTGCCTTGAGAGCAGAGGTTCTTAACTGGGGGTCCGAGTCCAGCTCAAAGAGTGTGCACAGGCACATGTGGACTCTTTTGTGGGTTCCAAGTGCGACCATCATCCAACAATAGGAATCTTACTACTGGAGGACAGTGCAGGGGGCATAGGAAGGGCATCCTCTGGTCCCTTAGACACCTCAGCTCCCATGGCGGGGGTCAGCAGCGACACGCATTCCCCCCAGATGTGCTTCTGAATCCAGCTGAACCTCAGGGGATGAATGTGGTCCAAGAGGTGTTTGGCCAAGTCCATCCCCCAGCTGTGGCTGAGTCAGCTTGGGAGAGTGGGGGGAACCTGGGCTAAATCTGGGAGAAACTGGTTTGAAAACCCTTTGGGACTGAAGAGGCAGAGGGCAATAGGAAGGGTGACCCCCCAGCAGCCCAACTGGGTAGGCCTCAGTAGCTCTCTCCTGAGCTACCAAAAGAGCTACCAAAGACCCACCCACAGGTCCCCTCTTCCCTCCTCTTTTCCTTCTCGGTGGGGTGCTTGGTTGCCAGGGCAACAGGGTCTGAGGCTCCACTCTCCCACCCCGCTTTGAGGCCAGCCAGGCCAAGGCAGGATAGGGGTTCCATGGAGGGGGCCCGGGGGTGCAGCTGTCTGCCGAAGCCTCGGTAGGGGTGGGGTGCTGGGGGGGAGAGCACAGTCGCAGCTGGTGCCAGCCTCCAGCTGCACCTTATCTGTCCCTGGCAGTGGGAGCTCCGATGTGGCTGGAATACTGAACAGCACCAAGGGGAGGGGGCTGGCAGATGGTGGCCTAGTCTGCCCTATGCCACCCCCCTCTTCCAGCTGAGTCCCAGAGCCTTTGCCTGGGGGAGAGAAGTGGGAATTCATTTCTGAACCCTGGAAGGGATGGAAGGGGAGGGCAGAGAATGGAAATCCTGGGGGTTGGTATGCAGTGGGGATAGTATTCTCTCAGGAGAGGGTGGAATTGGGGGACAAGGGATAGGAGGACAAGAGTCCAGGGGACCCTGGAGTGGGGGCAATCTCCCAGAGGAGAGGTAGGCAAAGAAATCCCCCCAAGGTTCTGGAGGTGGACAGGAATCTTCTGGAGCACCTGGAGGAGGTGAGACGCTGATTTAAAAGAAGGGTGATCCTGAGACCCAGAAGTTGGAGGGAGAGGTCATCTTAAACAAGGAGAGCCAGGGATGGCAGGTCCCAGGGAGCCAGGACTAGCAGTGGGAGCTTCCTTATCCCCAGGGCCGGCTCTGCCCCTTCACTGACACCCCTCATCACACCACCCCACAGCGGCTCAGACCTGGGGAGGGCCCGACCTCACTACCTGGGTCTGTTCCCTCCAGCTAGGGTCCAGGGGACCCTGCATTGGGGTCTCTCTCTCTCTCTCTCTCTCACACACACACACACACACACACACACACACACACACCTCCCTCAGGTGACTCAGTTTCCTCTCTCACCTCCTCCCTCTCCTCCCCCATCCCTCGCCATTTCTGACTCTGCCCCTCTCCCAGACTGCTGTCAGCTAAGAGGCTCCTCTCAGTTAATTGACCTCCGGCTGTTGGCTAAAGTAATAGGGAATTGATGTAAGTAAGCGGCTCTGGGGGCGGAGCCGGAAGTGGAGGGGTGGGAAGAGTAGTGCTTGGGCTCTCTCCGGTCCCAGCCTGCGGAGAGCTCCGTGGTAGGGCCGCCACTGCACGTGCTGTGCATCCAGGAAGCAGAGGGGGGGGCCTGCACAGAGGTCAGAACGTTTCTGCTGTGGGTGGAGCCGGATTGGGAGCACGCTTCAACTTTGTGGAAGGCAGTTTCAATTCCTCGTGGATGGTGAGGGAGACTGAATAGTAGGCACGAGGGGCTGGGGGTGGGAGTGTCGAGCTCCACTTGATTCCTTCCCGTCACTGAGAGGCCCTTGGAAGTGCCAAGCCTCGTGCTGGGCACCAGGGGGCGGCGGTGAACAGGCGGAGCCTGTCCCTGCCCTCAGGGAGCCTTGAGCCAAGTGCGGCACTCCCGGGAGGCTCAGAGTGCAGGGTGGTACTAAGGGAAGCCGAAGGGCTTCGGAGCAGAGAATCACGTGCCAGGGATGAGAGGACCCTCCACATCTAGGTGGGGTCCTTCCAATCTCCCCAGCCCAGCTCAGCTATTCAGAAACGCCAGTTCTGGGAATTCCCTGGCCTTCCAGTGGTTAGGACCCCACGCTCTCACTGCTGAGGACCTGGGTTCAATCCCTGGTTGGGGAACTAAGATCCCACAAGCCGTGCAGCGCAGCCTAAAAGAAAGAAAGAGAGAAACTTCAGTTCTACAGACTGTGTGGTGTCTCCCCCAGCCCAGCCTCTCCCAGCTTATGACCAGTCTAGTTCTCTCCAGCAAGGGTCATGGTCTTTGGTCAGGTTCCCGAGGCACAAGCCTTCCCTTACTGTACGTCTGTACCCTGTATGTCCGTACCCTCTGGCTGAGAACCTTCTGGTCAGAACTCTGGCGTGGGGATTCTGGGAGGCA